GACATGTACTGTAAGTATCTTTATCGTTGTACTGCGATCCTATTACCACTTCTGTGGTCCTTGACATGTACTGTAAGTATCTTTATCGTTGTACTGTGATCCTATTACCACTTCTGTGGTCCTCGACATGTACTGTAAGTATCTTTATCGTTGTACTGCGATCCTATTACCACTTCTGTGGTCCTTGACATGTACTGTAAGTATCTTTATCGTTGTACTGTGATCCTATTACCACTTCTGTGGTCCTCGACATGTACTGTAAGTATCTTTATCGTTGTACTGCGATCCTATTACCACTTCTGTGGTCCTTGACATGTACTGTAAGTATCTTTATCGTTGTACTGTGATCCTATTACCACTTCTGTGGTCCTCGACATGTACTGCAAGTATCTTTATCGTTGTACTGTGATCCTATTACCACTTCTGTGGTCCTCGACATGTACTGTAAGTATCTTTATCGTTCTACTGTGATCCTATTACCACTTCTGTGGTCCTCGACATGTACTGTATGTATCTTTATCGTTGTACTGTGATCCTATTACCACTTCTGTGGTCCTCGACATGTACTGTAAGTATCTTTATCGTTGTACTATGATCCTATTACCACTTCTGTGATCCTCTACATGTACTATAAGTATCTTTATTGTTGTACTGTGATCCTATTACCACTTCTCTGGTCCTTGACATGTGCTGTAAGTATCTTTATCGTTGTACTGTGATCCTATTACCACTTCTGTGGTCCTTGACATGTACTGTAAGTATCTTTATCGTTGTACTGTGATCCTATTACCACTTCTGTGATCCTCGACATGTACTGTAAGTATATTTATCGTTGTACTGTGATCCTATTACCACTTCTGTGATCCTCTACATGTACTGTTAGTATCTTTATTGTTGTACTGTGATCCTATTACCACTTCTGTGATCCTCGACATGTACTGTAAGTATATTTATCGTTGTACTATGATCCTATTACCACTTCTGTGATCCTCGACATGTACTATAAGTATCTATCATTGTATACCGTTTTCTATTTACCACTACGAAGTAACAATGAATCTCTGAAGATAACAATGTACAATTGAGACCAAGTGGATTGCATTCTTCTTGCCAGAAAAGTATTTTTCATACTTACTACCAATTGTCAGTTCTGAACTGACCGATTTATAAAAATGAACTTTGAAGGAAGCTTGAGTCATTCCAGTTATAACTTGAAGCCCTAAATCCGTTTATTATTTTGTTGTTTGGAATAGTATATATATATATATACACCCACACATTTTAACTGTAGAGGTTTTTCTCATCGATAGTTAATTATTCCTTTATGTCAAACATTTGCTAATAAAGTGAAAAAAAAACTGAATACTAAGAAATTAGAAAACACGACTCTGTTGTCAAGCAAGACAGTTTTACAAAGAAACTAACGAAAGTTATACTTAAAGTTAGATATTCCAGCAACAAAATCGTAGCCAAACTTGCAAGAAAGGAAAATATATCGGATTAAACTATTGAAAACCAAATTACCGAAGTTTACTAGTGTAATTGTTCTATAAAATCCAAATTAACACTTTTAAACTTCACATTAAATTAGAATAACATTGCTTAGTGAAAACTAGGTATTTTTCATGTTACGTTATAGTTTAACACCAACACTTCAACAATGATTAAAATTAATCTACGTTCGTTATTTAGTTTCCACTCCCTTATGTGGAAAATTAGGTTTTTTCTCGGTTTCAGCCTTGATACAGAATACCGTATTTTTTGGTGTATAAGATGCACCTTTTTACTTCAAAATTTGATGTCAAAATCTGCTTGCGTCCTATACACCGAAGGTATGAATAATATATATGTATATATACGATATACACAAGCCACGTGTAAATATAGTTAAATAGGCATGCATAGTTTAGTTCAATATATACAAATTTTTAAAGTATCAAATTGAATTTTTGTTCAATAAAAATCTTTCAAATGCGACTGTAGCTTTTTTTCCCCCCAAAACTTTGTCTTCAAACTAAGGGTGCGTCTTATATTCCGAAAAATACGGTATATGTCTGTGACGCTCTGTCTCTCCTGAACGGTTAATCTTATAAAAACATATCTATATATATATACCAAAATGCTTGTTTTCAAGAGTACTTTACAGGAAACTTATTCATTTTTGAATTCATAAAATTTTATGTTGATATACATCGATCCGCCATTGTTATGTGCTGAACAGCCAATTTGAGAAGAAGAAACGTAACAACAAATAGGTTTCTTTCTGTAAGAAACGTTAAGAAAAAAATCGGAACTTCCTCCGTAGACTGATTTGAAATAGATATTTGGAATATAGGAGCATCACCGCAAAAAATGCATAAAGAGAGAGGAACGTGTCTCGAGTATATATAACAAATGAAATAGCATCAAATCTATTTTAATATTAATTAGATTAGTTGATGATAGGCGATTAAAATTCAACACTGTAAGACATTAGTGAAGTTAATATAAGATAAGCTTTAAAATTATTTTATAAAATCCATTGTTATTTCCAGTCGTAACCTTGAAGTCATAACGGAAATTGTCTGTGGTGATAGCTCCCAAAAGTGTTGTGGATATCCTATCTATCAGACAAAATCCAAAAGCTTATGAAAAACTAGTTAGCAGGCATGGACATCAATTAAGGGTGGGGGAGTTGAGTGCTTACACCCACAATGTCTCAACTCCTACTGCCTTTCACCTGTCTGCAGCCAGTTGTGGGAAGGCACTTACCTTTAAAAGTTCTACTAATACTAAAAGTAGAAACAAAATAAAACCACCCTAAAAATAGTTCTACTAAAAGATTATCCGTTATGACTTCAAAGTTATTGCATACGCGCTCTGATCCAAGGGATTGAGTTGACTGTACATTATATATTTATAATCACTATTTTAATGAAGATTACTTCAACGGGTATCTGCAAGCACGATTGTATTCGTTTTTTCTTCTCGTTAGCATTTCCTTATAGTGTTAAATGTAACACACAGAAGATGCTTGTATGTATAATGAGCAAACATTTAAGTTAAATTAATGCATGTTGTAGCTGTGTTTGAGATTCCTATCAAGAAGTTAGTCAACTACTTGTCACTGTGTGAATGGCAATTTAAAATAACGAATTTTTAACTGCTTTTCAGTGGGGCCCAGTGAAGTTAAAATAATATCAGAACACCGTTTTCTGTCGGCAAGAGAAAAAACGCAAATAATCTGTCGTTCTGTTGGCTCTCGACCAGCAGCGAACATCCACTGGTGGAGAGACAGAAAAAGAGTGACCTCGTTTACAACCGCTGTGAGAGATGGAAACTACACCATCAGCACACTGACCTTTACACCTGAGATGGAAGATAATGGCCGATATCTGTCTTGTGAAGCCGAAAACCCTTTTGTCCCCAATAGTGGCATAGAATATGGATGGATACTGAATGTCCTCTGTAAGTGTTAATAACTCGTAGTTTGGAACAGTTAAGTTATATGTGTGTGTGTGTGTATAATTACCGGCCATCATGCACACTAATTACCGACCTTATGGAACTTTGTTGGACCGTGGGTTCGTTACAACAGTGACGCTCAAATCCCGCTATTCAATTAGAGTAGCCCAAGAGTTGACGGCGGGTGACGTAAACTAGCTGCCTTTCCTTTAGTTTATCACTTCAAAATTAGGGAATGCTTGTCCAGATAGTTTTCGGCTGACTTTGCACGAAATTTAACAAACTGTTCTTTAGATAAGGTGATAGTATAAGTCAGTCTCTAAATAATTCTTGCGAATGACAGGCAGGATGTAATGAAGACCGATTTCACGACACTGGTTGTGTAGCATCAACTAGTTCGATAGCAAAAATAAATAGCTTCTGACATACACGTCTAACAATAGGATCGGTGACAGGATGTTACAAGATGTAAAACCTGAAAACTTGCAAAAAATAGCAGTGAAGCCTAAAGTCAATATATATCGAAAGATATAACCTTTAATTAAGATACCCGACGTTATACAATACAAATGTTGGTTGGTTATTGTTAAGTTCTTTAATTAAGATACCCGACGTGATACAATACAAATGTTGTTTGGTTATTGTTAAGTCCTTTAATTAAGATACCCGACATGATACAATACAAATGTTGGTTGGTTATTGTTAAGTTCTTTAATTAAAATACGCGTCGTGATACAATACAAATATTGATTGGTTATTGTTAATTTCTTTAATTAAGATACCCGACGTGATACAATACAAATGTTGTTTGGTTATTGTTAAGTCCTTTAATTAAGATACCCGACGTGATACAATACAAATGTTGGTTGGTTATTGTTAAGTTCTTTAATTAAAATACGCGTCGTGATACAATACAAATATTGGTTGGTTATTGTTAAGTTATTTAATTAAAATACGCGACGTGATACAATACAAATGTTGGTTAGTTATTGTTAAGTTCTTTAATTAAAATACGCGACGTGATACAATACAAATGTTGGTTGGCTATTGTTAAGTCCTTTAATTAAAATACCCGACGTGATACAATACAAATGTTGGTTGGTTATTGTTAAGTCCTTTAATTAAAATACCCGACGTGATACAATACAAATGTTGGTTGGTTATTGCTAAGTCCTTTAATTAAGATACCCGACGTGATACAATACAAATGTTGGTTGGTTATTGTTAAGTTCTTTAATTAAAATACGCGTCGTGATACAATACAAATGTTGGTTGGTTATTGTTAAGTTCTTTAATCAAAATACCCGACGTGATACAATAAAAATGTTGGTTGGTTATTGTTAAGTTCTTTAATTAAGATACCCGACGTGATACAATACAAATGTTGTTTGGTTATTGTTAAGTCCTTTAATTAAGATACCCGACGTGATACAATACAAATGTTGGTTTGTTATTGTTAAGTACAAATCTACACAATGGGTTACCTGTGTTCTGCCTACCATGTGGGTCTGAACCTCATTTTTGGCGTCGTAAGCCCGCATACTTCCCGCTGAGACACTAGGGGCGCAATACAGAGGAATTACAGATTCAAATGCCACTCTCTCAACGGAGGATATTTCTAAAGGCTTAAAAAGGTGGACTTAGTAAATAATGACATACCATTAATATTATTTAAATAATATAAACGCACTTAACAAACCTATTGATGGATAATTGCCATTTTTCATATTATAGCTATGACAATGTTTATAAAATAATATCAGTAGCTCCCCCTCAGTTTTTGTCGTGATAAACAGGCGTTTGATAATCAGTCACTTGGACTGACCTGTGCTGTATACAGTGGTCTCCAATAGTCTTGTTTCAGTTATCACTTTGAAGTAAATCACAGAATGTAGATTGTTCCTTGTAAAAAGTGCCTTGGCCTTAAAGAATGTTTCACCAATATGGAAGAATGAAAGCCAACCAATTACACAACTCTGTCGCCGGATGGCCACAAGTGTCTCGAAGTGTCGTTAACAAAGTGTGAGACCGATTCCTATCCAATGGCACAGTTGGTCAGAAAAAAGGCAGATCATCATCCAGAGATCTGAACAAGGCAAAACATCATCCAGAGATCTGAACAAGGCAAAACATCATCCAGAGATCTGAACAAGGCAGACCATCATCCAGAGATCTGAACAAGGCAGACCATCATCCAGAGATCTGTACAAAGCAAAACATCATCTAGAGATCTGAACAAAGCAAAACATCATCCAGAGATCTGAACAAGGCAGACCATCATCCAGAGATCTGAACAAGGCAGAAAATCATCCAGAGATATGATAATTATTAGCATCAAACTTCATATGTTGTTACGAAGCACCTAGTCTAGGATTTGAATGATAAATAAACTAATAAGATAATTAATAACAGGCCCGGCATGGCCAGGTGGTTAGGCGCTCGACTCGCAATCTGAAGGTCGCGGGTTCGAATCCCCGTCACACCAAACATGCTTGCCCTTGTAGCCGAGGGGGCGTTATAATGTGACGGTCAATCCCACTATTCGTTGGTAAAAGAGTAGCTCAAGAGTTGACGGTGGGTGGTGATGACCGTCAAGTTTTACACTGCTAAATTAGGGACGGCTAGCGCAGATAGCCCTCGTGTAGCTTTGCGCGAAATTTAAAACAAACAAAGAATTATTAGCATCAAACTCCATATGTTGTTGCGAAGCGCCTAGTCTAGGATTTAGTAATGACCAAACATGTAGATGAATAAATATGATAATTTTGTATTTTAATAATGCTTTTTTATGATACTTAGAACACCAAAAAATACCCTTAATGTAACAATGGCTAAATACTAAGCCTATTATTCACCTTATTTTCTCATTAAAAGATTATTGAGCATCTACAATACGTTTTCTGAAGGACATCAATTTGTGAGGTATAGAATATAATAGTTAACTTTTTTTTTCCTTTCTGTAAAACTACTTTCTTAACTTCCACCATGGTTTATGTTCTAAATTGATGTTTTAACTATAATTATTATATTCAGTAACATCTACTCACAGATTTTACTGCTTTAAACGTATTATTAGGAAGTAGATATTTTAACATATATTGTGTATAAACAATACGTTCTGGGTTATTGGATGACTTTGTGGTGAGTTTTTTTTTTTAAAGATTATATCTTACTAAAATATTAACAACGTTAGCACATTTATTCATTAATTATACAATTTTTAGCCAATAAAATGAACTCGTTAAAAGATGTTTTGTCATGAAGGAAAAATATTAAATGCATATTTGATTCATAGTTTATAACTCTAAAGAAATAGCAATAGACAATCACAATGGATTCACTATACTAACATAACCAAATGTTATCTCCGGAGATGTTCCACAGGTTACTTTAAAACTGGGATCAAACATTCAACTGGAAAACATATTTGAAGGAAAGGATGTGTACTTTGAATGTCATATTCAGGCCAATCCTTGGATTGATGAAATTATCTGGCTACACGAAGGGATTCCAATCAGAAACAAGCAAGAAGAAGGAATCATTATGAGCAACCAAAGTTTGGTTTTACAGCACATTAGGCTTGCGTGGAGAGGAGAATATCGGTGTATGGCGTATAACAGCCAGGGTTTAGGAAGAAGTAACACAATTGACATAAACCTAAAATGTAAGTAGTAGATGTAACTCGTGTCAGTATAACGTCTTAATACTTGGAAGGTATACTTAATACTTGGAAGGTATACTTAATACTTGGAAGGTACATTGTTTGTATCTAAACTATGATGATAATCTTAACAACTTGAGACTCAAAAATCACTACAGTTTCTTTGAATTTTGAAAATTACTTCAACAAGAATAAGAATAGTTTACAGAAACTAACGCCCATTCCTTTAGTTTTAAAACTTTTACAATGAACTATCTTTATATGCTCTTGATTCTACAAGGTGAATTTGCATAACTTATTCTGATAATATTTGAATTATTTAAAGAATAAAAATAACAGATTAACTTTGTTAAAGTTTTCAAACTTTGAGCTATTTATCGGTAAGCCTAAAGTTACTTACGTTTCATGGTCGTTTTGTTGTTTCAGATCAGTATTGTGTGGATGTTTGGTGAATTTTTTCTGACAGACGATCGGTATATGAATTTATTAGGGTTTTTATACGCCAGCCAAGATGTATTGTTTAAAAACATTCGCAATAATTAATATAAATAATTTATACATTAAGGCTAAAATCCGAGGTTCATTTCTCCCTAGTGGACACAGCAGATAGTCCAATATAGCAATTAACTAACATTATAGCTCTATCAATTAAAAATAACAGATTTAAGATACATTAGAAACTAAATTTTGAAAAATTCTAACGAAAATTTCATTATAAAATAGAAACATTGTTTATATTCACACTTAACGTATTTCGTCTATAAAGTTACATTAAAATCAGATAACCTACAAAACTAAATACTTTATACTTATAATAGAGGTGGAGTGGCCAGGTGGTTAGTAAAATAGAGGTGAAGTGGCCAAGTGGTTAGTAAAATAGAGGTGAAGTGGCCAAGTGGTTAGTAAAATAGAGGGGAAGTGGCCATGTTGTTATTAAAATAGTGGGGAAGGGGCCAGGTGGTTAGTAAAATAGAGGTGAAGTGGCCAGGTGGTTAGTAAAATAGAGGTGAAGTGGCCAGGTGGTTAGTAAAATAGAGGTGAAGTGGCCAGGTGGTTAGTAAAATAGAGGTGAAGTGGCCAGTATGTTAGTAAAATAGAGGTGAAGTGGTCATGTTGTTAGTAAAATAGAGGTGAAGTGACCAGGTGGCTATGGAGCTCGACTCGCAATCTGCGGGTTACAGTTTGAATCCCCGTCACTAAAAGTGCTCGCCTTTCCATTCGTGTTTTATTATGACGGTCAATTCAACTATTCATTAGTAAAATAGTAACCCAAAAGTGGGCGGTTGGTAGTGTTGACTAGCTGTTTACCCTCTAGTCTATCACTGCTAAGCTAGGGTACAGATAGCTCTCGTGTAGCTTTGCGCGAAATTAAAAAACAAAACAGACAAACAAACACCCCAATCCAAGTGATACAATAAGTTTATTGGTATTTTATGGTGTGTTTTCATATGTCCCGTGTTACAACATAACTTTATATCTTATATAACTTTATGTCTTATATAACTTACAACATAACTTTATATCTTATATAGCTTACAACATAACTTTATATCTTATATAACTTTATGTCTTATATAACTTACAACATAACTTTATGTCTTATATAACTCTATGTCTTATATATCTTAAAACATAACTTTGTCTTATATAGCTTACAACATAACTTTATGTCTTATATAACTTACAATATAACTTTATATCTTATATAACTTGCAACATAACTTTATATCTTATATAACTTTATGTCTTATATATCTTACAACATAACTTTATGTCTTATATAACTTACAAGATAACTTTATATCTCATATAACTTTATGTCTTATATAACTTACAACATAACTTTATATCTTATATAACTTTATGTCTTATATATCTTACAACATAACTTTATATCTTATATAACTTACAACATAACTTTATATCTCATATAACTTTATGTCTTATATATCTTACAAGATAACTTTATATCTTATATAACTTTATGTCTTATATATCTTACAAGATAACTTTATATCTTATATAACTTACAACATAACTTTATGTCTTATATATCTTACAACATAACTTTATGTCTTATATAACTTACAACATAACTTTATATCTTATGTAACTTACAAGATAACTTTATATCTTATATAACTTTATGTCTTATATATCTTACAAGATAACTTTATATCTTATATAACTTTATGTCTTATATATCTTACAACATAACTTTATGTCTTATATAACTTACAACATGTGAGGCATTTTATTTATTTCCTAACCTTGTTTGATATACAAGCTACGAACTTTGTTTGATATACAAGCTACGAGCCTTGTTTGATATACAAACTACGAACCTTGTTTGATATAGAAACTACGAACCTTGTTTGATATAAAAGCTACGAACCTTGTTTGATATACAAGCTACGAACCTTGTTTGATATACAAACTACGAACCTTGTTTGATATAGAAACTACGAACCTTGTTTGATATACAAGCTACGAACCTTGTTTGATATACAAGCTACGAACCTTGTTTGATATACAAGCTACGAACCTTGTTTGATATACAAGCTACGAACCTTGTTTGATATACAAGCTATACTATATTAATATTTTATGGCTACATGGTTTAATTTCCAAGTTTTCAAAGCGACGATTCTGTAAGACATGTAGTTTGAGTTTCCATGTATACATTTCACACAAAATATTATATATATATAATCAAATGTTAAAAACTGTGCCTTATCAACAGACAGTCACGTTATACAAATGTTAAATATGATTTATACACACACATATATATACAGTTTTGGCAATAATTATCGAAACGCGAAGGTTATACAAATATAACAGTCACAAATAATGAGTAATTTCAACTAAATGATAAACTGATTGTATATAAAATACATCATTAGATAAAGTATAAAAAGTAAAGAAATAAGTTGTTTAAACAGAGGGTTAATCTTTGTGTTAACATGAGTTTATTAATGTATGACTGTTCAAGAAGTCCTGCATTACTTCCCACAAAGTTGTATGGCTGCTGTTTCATACGAGCACATACAGACTTTGTACAGGCAAAGCCATTGTTGCTAATGTTTCATCGGCCTTTTTTTTTTACTTCCAGGTATCGTTTCACCACATTTTCTACTTGCTTAAAACACTGTTGTGCTAGAATCCCTACTCAATGGGTTTTGTTCACGGGTGGATGGCATGATGGGTAAGAGTAGGTTGTGCCAATCAGCAGACAGTGTACCATCACAAGAAGTATTTTGTTGCATCAATGCTGCATATCCTTGAAATTCCTATATAAGTATAGAATTACTAAATGAGTTAAAGACATTTCAAAACACCATACCTATAATATAGACCACAGCGCTTACACCAACTCATTGACAAGATCTCTACAGGATTTTCGTGTATCATCTAAAGAACATCTCGTGAATTACTTTAAGATCGTTCTTAGTTTGGGCTTTCTACTTCGACTACTCTTATAGCAACAGTACTGGTTTCATCGAACCTCTTCAGAGTTTCTATACAGCTAAAATATGAACATTTTGTTCCAATATGTTGCATGAAATAGCTTTTAACAACCAATACGTTGAATTCTAAACGTTTGGTACGTGGCTTATCTGTCGTGGAATCCACGAGTATATTCACCACAATACTACTGGGACTAGTATAACCACTCGAATTTCAATGGAAAGTGTGATGGTATGTGATGATGTGGTATAGTCTGTTTGGGTAGATGATGTCCAATAAAAGTGTAAACTATCAGCATCTCAATGTCTTTTGGTGTAGTTTATTTTCATTGAATTGAGCAGGAGATATCGAATCGAATAATATTTATGTTTTATAATAAATTATTTTCTTCAAAATACATTATGGTGAAATATGGTTCAAAATGTCCTGCGTTACGCTTCATAGTTTAACCAAAATGTTTGGTCTTATTTGAAATCCATAACATATAGGAGCAAACTGTGTTTTCTAAAATACGAAGAAATACCTACAACACAGTTTACTTATAATCTATTTACAATTCTATAACATTGATCTTTGTTGTATTTTTTAATTTATTTAATATTGTCAAGAGTGGGGATTCCACAACAATGTTTAATTTTTTTTTTTGCTAAAATTATAATAAATAATTAATCAAAAACAACGTTTTATATTTACACAATAAAAACTTTTATTGAAGCCGTACGGCTTCCACTTTAAAATCTCTACAGGTACATCACGTAGAAACATGTGATGTTTTAAAGGGAAGCCGTACGGCTTCAATAAAAGTTTTTATTGTGTAAATATAAAACGTTGTTTTTGATAAATTATTTATTATAATTTTAGCAAAAAATTTTAAACACAAGTGTCGGTAGTGTATAAATGTTTACAGTGATTTTACTTCTATTTTCAGTTACTCCAGTCTGTTCTGATCATCGTGAAAATACCTATGGACTTGCAAAGAACGAAAGCGTCAACATTGTTTGCAACGTAAATGCTAATCCATCAGAAGTTAAATTCTACTGGTCTTTAAATAATTCACAAGAAGTGATGAACCTTTATTCATTTACTTTCAATGATACAACAAGTATTCTCCATTACAAACCTAGAAATCTCAATAATTACGGGCTGTTGCTCTGCTGGGCAACAAATGTCATTGGTGAGCAAAAAAAACCCTTGCAAATTTAATATTATATATACTGGTGAGTATTTTGTAATTATTTTCTTGTGCTTTTTTTAACCCTGTCTTTGATTTTCTATACGATACAATTATTTTCAAATATTTTTTTCTTTCATTATAGTTTTGAATACATTTGAACATGATGCTATTTTAGAATATATAATTACATTATAATTATGGAATAATGTGTCTTTTTTAAATTAAATCTACCTTTGTTGTTGATAAATATGAGTTGCGGAGTTTAACAAGTAAGCGAAGATTGTAAATGTGTAGGGATTATATTAAATGAAATACAGGGTGTGATACATTATCCAATCCACGTTGCTTCTCGATATGGTATGTGGCATCGTTCTGAAAGTACTAAGAAAATAAAACCCACACAAAAAAAAGGTTCTTTTTGAGGTTATACAGAATAAAGTTATTCTACAAGTGTTAGGTCGTAGGTCAACGTTCATAAAACAAATGACACTAGGTTTTTCTCCATCCCACCAAACATGCTCGCTCTTTCAGCCGTGGGGGCGTCATAATGTGACGGTCAATCCCACTATTAGTTGGTAAAAGGGTAGCCCAAGAATTGGCGGTGGGTGGTGATGACTAGCTGCTTTCCCTCTAGCGTTTCACTGCTAAATTAGGGACGGATAGCGCAGATAGCCCTCGTGTAGCTTTGGGCGAAATTCCCAACAAACAAACACTAGGTTTTTCATATATTAGGAAGTACTTATGTGTGAATTAATGAACTCTGTCTAGAATGAGAGATACAGTTTCAGTGTGATTTTTTATGCTAGTTTTGTCTAATAAAATTAAATTCTTGACTGTTTTCAAATTACAGGAACGCCTGGCCTTTTACGTAACTGCATCTTATTCAACATCACAGCAAGAGGGTTTGTTGTGGGTTGCAAGAAAGGGTATGACTGGGGACTTAACCAAACTTTCCATCTAGAAATTTATAGCTCACTAAAAGAAAGACTGTTCTGTAACATGACTCGAACCTCATCTCCAATCTTCCACGTTACAAGTCTTCCTCCGTCTACGTCGTTTCTAGTAGAAGTTTACGCTTCAAATTCGAAAGGAAGAAGCAGTACGATAATGTTTACAGCAACTACTTCTCCAGTAACTCAGGAGTTAAAAGGTAGACTCATTGCGGTATACGTAAGAACATTTATCTTGGTATTCAGGAGTTAAAAGGTAGACTCATTGCGGTATACGTAAGAACATTTA